TTTTGCATCCGCCCTCCCACCATCATTTACATTCTGCCATTTTATTTACACTCCTGTTTATATTTGTCACACTTTTGTCTTTGTTTTTTCCCCTCCGTTCATTTGGCTACGCTTCTTTCTCCCTCTGTCTCTTCCCCTCGCCGACATTTTTAACTGCATTTTTGTGTATTTGTCAAGGCCCTGAACCTCTAACCACAATGTTACCTCCCGCTCTCCCTCTTCCCTCGCTCTCTCTCTCTCTCTCTCTCTGTTACGTTCAGTCTACTGCTGCCCTGCAAGTAGATTTTGATTGTATTTTTGTTGATTTTGTTGCAATTTTAATTACTTTAATGAAAGTTTTAATTGCAAAATAGCAAAAACGCAGATACAGAGAGTGAAAGAGAGAGCAAGCTGAGAGCGAAAGAGCGCGCGAGCAGGTTCGTAATGAGATTCTGTGGTCTAAGAAAGGTTGGCAGCTCCGACAGCTACGACAAGGACAACGTCAACGACAACTACTACAACAGCAGCAAAGAAAACCCCGAACATGCCACGCACACAAAATCCCTTGTGTATTCTAAATTGTTAATGAAAGGTATTTTAAGAAAAATGCAATTGATTGATAGAGAAATCTGTATAATGACTTCAGTTGAGTAAGAAAAGCCGGAAAAGTTGTAGGCAAATTTGAAACGTTTCAAATTAAAACTCCAGGCAAAGAACGTAGCTCTAGAATAGACTGAGATAAGTGCAGAAAATTCCCTCAAAAAGTTTGCAACTCAAGAGAAAAAGAAAAATATAAATCTCTAAAGCACTTTGTAGACGAGTTCAATCAACAGATTAAAATCTACATTTACTGACTTTATAAATCTTAATAAGAGCTTCTTACTTGATGGGGACAAAGATTGGAATTTTATACGAGCTGTTAATTTTTTTATTATTCAATTAATATTATTGCACTAATATTTCTATGAACAACCTACTCTCAATGGTTCGTCAAAATCAAATTAGTTCTGATTTACAGTAACGCAATTTTTTCGCAATTATCTTCTTAGCATGCTAAATAAAAAATACATAATTTTTTCAACTATTTATATGAATATGAATTATAATCACTTTACCTTTTTCATTACTTTTTTACTATTAAAATAAAATATATATTTATTCGTTTTCCTCACTATTAGTTACAGCAAAAAAATTATATATTATTGTACATTATTTTGCTAAAAACAAAGCAAAAAGATGAACATTATTTGTTTCAAATCTAAGTATCAAAATTTTTTACTAAAATTAATATTGTATAAATATTTAAATATGTTTTATATTTTAATTATTAAAAATATATAAAGAGCTATTCAAGCGAGACACAACTTCACTCTCGCTGTGCACATTTAAAATGAGCCTAGCCTAGCATACGAAAAGAAAAGTAAATCGAATCTATTTTGTATATCTCGATGGCAATTCCACTCTGAATGCTTTGAAATGTGCATATGAAATAAGCTGGGTAAAAAGCTTAATTTAAATGTTATCCAAATCAATTTTCGAACATATTTGCTATAAATAAAATCCCCCACGTTCAGCCTGATACAGCTGAATGTTCACTATATATAACATATGCACACATGTAATTGCTGTTAGAGTGTTTGCCCTCAGCGTCATCCCAATGGGTAGGGGGTGGGCTTAGGACACAACAACATCAAAAAACATTTCACCCAAAGCTTGACCCACAAAGTCAAGCAAGCAAATCAGAACAGTAAAAAAAAAAACATAGAAAATTGTAGAAAAAACGCATGTCATACATGTCGCACTGTCGTTGTCTCCATAAAACAGATAGAGAGAGACACAGATAGAGGGAGTGAGAGGGAAATCGTTTAAATAAAATATGCACACAATTGTGAGACCGCAAGGCACTGGGAAATGAAATAAGTGAGCCGTGGCAACCAGGCAAAGAAATAAATACAAACTCATGGATATAAAAACCAAAAACCCCAAACAACAACACCAAACAGCAGCAACTGCAAAGTCAATGAACTGCAACAGATAGACGCAAGATACAAATAAGAAAAAACCCATAAACAACAACTACTACAAAATATATCTTTGAGCTGAAGCTGATGCTGATGCTTCTGATGCTGCTGCTGCTGAAGTTTTGTGTGACTTTGATGACGTCGTTTTGAGTGTTGCTCAGCACTCGTTGTGCACTGAGCTTTTATTTTGTTATTTATTTGCATAAATAAAAGAAAATATAGATTTGTATACGTATGTGTGTGATATGACAGCGGAAATGCACTGAACATGAGATACGAGCAGCGAAATGAAACGAAAAAGATGTGCAAAGCATTCAAGTCTAACGTAGATTACGCATACGCCGTGTTGCACATCGACTGATAGGCACAAAAAGGGGAATCGGCCGGTGCAAGGCTTGTTAGCAGTGATGTTGCAGCTGTTGCAATTTGCAATAAATTATGGAATCCAATATTTTTTAGCACATTTAAATAAACATAACATCAATTTGTAAAATCATTTTTCTCATTTGGAATATTGTTTTATTTAATTCACAAAATACAATTTCCTTTTTGAACATAAACATTTTAATTTCGAATCATATTTATTCTAGCTAAACTTAAGCCAAGTTTCATTATTTTAACAAATTATTCAGGCTTTAAAAATTCAAATGGAATGTTTTTAACTTATGATATATATTTTATATCATATATTTTTATTTTTATATATTTTTTATTAGTAATTGTTGTACTTATTTATGTACTATTAAATTGTTCCATAAAAAAAGATATTTATGATTATATTTTGTATTTTTTATAAATTAATAAGCTGTGACACTTTATTACATATATAAACAAAAAATATATATAAGCTCCTTATACATTTCTTCGAATTAAAAAAAAGAAGAGAAAACCATTTTCCTGATACAATCATTTAATTTCTTAGCAATTCGTAATTGTATTTCTTAATCTCTGTTTTGTCTGTTTCGCTTTGAACCTCTTATTTAGGACTTTTCGTACAATGCTTTGTTTGTAGTTTGTCTCGGCACTTAACTGGGTTCATGTTGGGAGGCTCGTTAAATGCATGCGCCGTCGACTTTGGCCATAAAGCGCATTAATGCTCCTTGCATACTTTGCAACTGGCTTCGGCAGAAAAGGACACAGTGCAGAGTGTCGAAAGCAACTGAATGAAAGCAAACTACGAAAAGAAATAATTATACGTTTGCTGAAAAAATAAAATAAACGTAAAAGTAAACATAACGAAACTATAATACACTCACTTAAAATTCTCATATGTTGATAATTAGGCTGACATCAATTATAGCTTTCATTACAATTTATATTAATTTTATAAGCAGAAACTATTTAAACCTGCATCAATTAGCACTGATCTAGCCAATATCAGTTGCCAAACAGCATGTTGCAGTCGTTAATACCCTTTAGCTGTGAGTACAGAGAAATATGCGGAAAACTGCATTTTTGGCAACAAGCTTTTAATTGCACTTTGTATGTGCTCATTACCTTAAATTGAGAGCGAGACAGACGGCGACAGCGACGGCGTCAGCAACTGTCTCGTTTCAGCATTGGCAGCCGTTTTAATGCGAAACTTGGCAGCACTTTTTTTTGCAGTTACAACAACATTTGCAGGCCAAGCCATAAAAAAAAAACATTTAAAAAAAAATAAATAAGAAATTCAGCATTTAAATGCATAAAAAAGTCAATGCAAGAAAAGAAAAGCAAACAAAGAGTTGAAAGCAAAAGCGAGAGATAGAGTAAAGAGTTCAAATGACTGTATGCATGTGTGTGTGTGTGTGTGTGTGAGTGTGTCTCACGTTTTGTTGTAATTGCGAATGGAAAATTGTGGAAATGGGCATGAGAACGAATGAAAATGATATTGCCAAAAGCGTTTCGGAAAACTTTTTAACGACAAAAACAAGCCGAAAAAGAGGGCCGCCTGGGAGGGTGTGGCACAAGCACAAGAACACACATGTACACACATATGTGTGTGTTTATTCCTCTTATTTAAATGTGTAAAGTCTGACAAAAATAATTAAAGTGTGGATTGAAATTTGTTTTTTTTTTATGTTGTTGTTCTTTTGCAAAAGACAATTAGGAAATGGTACTTAAGGATGGGCAAGAAGCAGAGATATGCATGTGGGCTGTAGATATGCGTAATTTCAATTAAATGCTAGCATCGGGTCTACCCCTAATAGCAACTGTCATTTGCAGCTTTTTTCCTCTTATTTCTGTAATTTAACATTTTTTTTGTAAGTTTTCTTTGCGATTCTTTTGTTGTAATTTCCTCTTTTGTGTACCTTTGTTGGCCGCTGGCTGTTAATACTATTATATTTTCATTTGCAGCAACATACGCGGATTAGCATTCAAATGGAATCGAATCGGGATGTGTGTGAGTGTGATGGTGGAAAGAACTGTGTGGATTGCATGTGTGCATTTGCCTTGGGAGTGATTTTTAATTAAAGTGCTGCGTTAATTGCATTAATCTCAGTGTTTGCATGGGCATTAGCTTCAGCAAAGAGATGGCTACCCATAGAGATAGCGAAAAGAAGAGAGAAAAGTGGACCGAAGCATTGGCAAGCGTATTGTATGTATAATCACTTGCAGCATCAACTCAATGAAAACAAAAATGAGTAAAGCATATATCAAATTAATTTGATGAATCGATTCTCTTCTCCAGTGTAACAAGTTCTTTTTTAACTGTTTGCAATTGCCAGTTGCTAGTTTTCTCGTCTTAATTTTGATTGGATTTAAGCGTTACAGTAGTCAGTTGCTGTTGAAGAACCTACGAGGAGATTGAATCTAAAATACTAATCAACGTTTTAATCAAGGGAAAACCCAAAGTAATTGAGTATCTTCTACCCGAGCAAAGCTGCCTAGAGCACTCTTAGTTGTCACAGATTAAAGCAGCATAAAACTGTGTTCTCATTAAATTTTACTTTAATATCTGAACAATAAAGAAACCATTTCCAAAAATTTAACCCATGTTTAACCTCTTTATAATTGCAGTTGGTTTCGCTGACTCGATATAAAAAGGAAATATAGACAGCCAGACAACGTTGGCCCACAAAGTGGCTCAAATACAATTGACATTTATTGGCCAATATATATTTATAAGGCGTCCGCCCAAAGGAAGCGCCCGCCGCTACGCCAGACACAACACAAAGCGCAACTGAAAGAGCTATAAAAAAATAAATATAGATATATATAGTGGAAGAAAAACTAGGTTTATTGTATAGCTATGATGTTGTCAATGCTGCATAAGAACTGGCAGCAGGCTCGCATGCAAATGCTAAGCAGAAGGACGAACAGGACAACTGCCAGCACAATGCCATCATCCTGTGGGCAACGTGGGCGTGGCCAGACAATAACAACAACTACAGCAGGCACCAGCTGCATATGCTGGCTGGCTTTGCTGCTCCTCTTGATGTTCGTGCCGGGTAAGTAAACGACATTAAATAAAAATCTATATATATAAAGAAAAACTGACTAAAAAGCCCAAAAATCGAAGTTAATTTTGTAGAAGATTTACGCAAAGTCCAGCAAGAACTTCTTGACGAAATACTTACAAAACTTGCCAACAGACACTGTAAAAAAATAAAAAAATAAAAACATATTTATATAGAGATGAAAAACAAATGACACAAAATTGAGAGCAGAGCCCGGCAGAGCTTGACAGAGACCGGCGATAATTAATTTTTAAGCTGCACAAAATGAAGCGCGGACAAGTGACAAGCTAAAGATACAGAGTGAACGCAATCACTGTGTGGCCATCACTGGGTCGTTCGACGTTCAGAGGGGTTGGCAAAAATCAATCGTTCGTAAAATAAACAAATCTTATTTTTCCGCAAACATTATTTCTCATCAGTAGCAAGTGAAAACAGTAACAACAACAACAGCGACAGAAATAATCAACGAATTGAGCGATGACAACAAAATTTTTCATAAATGCGCGCATTCATCTGCATAAAACGTTGGAGCGGCTCACGGGGCAGCTGAGCTTAGCGGGGTGAAGAGACAGGCATAGAGATAGTAAGAGAGACAGAGAGGTAAGGAATACTGAGGCTGCGGGCATGCAGCCCAATAATTGACGAGGGTTGTAACATAAATGAAACATGATCTTGTAAAAAAAAGTGTTAATAGAGCTTATATATAAAATAAATTAAAAATATATAGAAAAAAATAAATAAAAAAAAATATATATATAACTATATATATAATAAAAATTGCATGTTAATTAAATTACAAATATAAAACAGAAATAAATATAACAAAAATTTACAACAGAAAAAATATTTTAATAGCTTAAAACAGCAGAATATATTTAGAAATGTACAAAAAGAAATTATTAAAACGAGTCACACAAATATATATAAAAAAGTTAATATTATATGTAAAATAAAATGTAAGTTTTTGCTTATATCCATCAATATTTGCCGCTCAAGTGACTTTGATTTCTTTAATTAACAAATTTAAACTCTTCTCTTCTATTTGAATGCAATAAGTTTCGGCCGATAACAAAATCAATTAGTTATGAAATAGTAAGGTTTCTGAACATTCAATTTAATTCTTATTCATTTTTTAAGCACTTTAAATATGATTAGTTTATATGTATATATAACATATTCTATGCATTCTATGCAAAAGGATTACTTAATTTGACTTTGTTTCATTTCATTGACAAAGTTCAATGGAAAGACTTGTTTTCTGAAAGAGAAAAATATATATATATATTCATACTTTGTATATACTGAATTCTTTATACTATACTATATATTAGCTTATATATTTCTAGCTATAAATAATAATAAACATTTTCCCTATTTAAAACTATAAAAAAAGTTGTACACTTCCGCAAATTGGTACCATAGGAAAAACACTTGTTAATTACATCGATCACAATTCACGCTATTAACATCACAATTTTCTAGACAGTTTTCGAGTATTTTTTAGTCTTTTGTCTTGGGTTAACCCTCGCGCCTCAATAACAATAAATACGAAATAGCATAGCAGCCCATTGGGTTTTGCTTAGAGCACTCGAAGAAAACCCTAAAAATGATGATGTTGCTGAAAAGGAACTATGAGTTACTTAATATCCAAGCAAACTCCGACTGCCATTTGCTATTTTATTTCTTGCTATACTTGGTTTTCTATGAATATTGCCAAAAGGCAGGCGGCAAAGAAAAGTCAGACAACAGCAGCAGCAGCAGCACAAGTGTAAACAAGCAGCAAAACAACAACAACAACTACAGCAACAATGAGTAGAAGAACAAGCAATTGCTGCTACGAGAATATTTCATAATTTTTTGCGTGATAAAGTTGCATTTGCGGGGATTAAATAGGATTTTCTTGCAATTACCCAAGAAGAGTGCAGGATAGCTTTTCCGTTCAGTCTGCGTTCTTTAAACGAAAACAATTTCAACTTTCGAACAAGTCCAATACAATCCAACCACAGCTCAATCGATAGTTGTGTAATTTATGTCCATACATAGCGCATAGCTTGAAATGTTTGGGGTTTCTGTGTTTCTAACTGCGTGTAAAGCGTCGAACATGCAACTTGTTGTGTTTCTTGCAGCAGCCAAAGCAGCAAACAACATGAATATGAAAGATATTATAGAATCTCGCCCAATAGTTACTCTGGCTAAGAGTAGCGTATGTAGGCATGAAGTTCACTCAGTTGAAAGATCAACTGAGGCGCTTTTACTTGCTGAATATTCGAAACCCTTAAGAGCTCATGAATGAAAATCATAAGACACAATTTGTAATTTAATAATTATAAGGCAGAACGTTTTAAATTATGCAATAAAATCATTCAATTATAGTCCTAGTGCTCCACAAATTGTGCTTTGACATTGGGTCAGCTTAACGCTTGACTTTGGGTCAGCTGTTGACTTTGACAACTCTGAGGTCAATCGAATGAATTGTTTGTATTTATCTTATCGCCTCATGAGCATAGAGATGTCTTCACATCCTTTAGCCTTATATTCATTCAATCAGTTGTCCTGTAGTCCAAACATCTTTGTCTATTGGAGTTTTATCAAACTCTTTTTATATATTTCATAAAATAAACTATAAAAATAATTTTAATTAATATGTTCAATATTGTGGGCTCAATCAACATTAATTTCACATCTTTAGCAACGAAAAATAGTTTTCCAATATATTCCTTTTAAAATTCATAAATTTTCAAACAATATATATATAGATATATAAACTTGATATCTTTATTAAACAGTTGCTTACTCTAACTGTTACACAATGCCGCACATATTTAAAATACCCACGAAAATTGTGCTCAGCTTTCGATATCGCCTGTTACCTTGCCACTTGTCTCTGCTCAACGCTCTCACATCGCACATACGCACTGTTGTGCAGTGCTTTGTTTAACCAGCACCTTAGTCTATGTATGCGATGCATGCACCCGCACCACACCTTGCCCACTGACTGCCCAGTCACAAACATAGCTCCCACTTTGCATAGCACACGAACTTGCACTTTGCAGCTGCCATTTCCTCTGTTCTTCTTCTTCTTCTTTTTTCGTTTTGTTTTTATTTTTGCTGTTGTAGTTTGGAATGTCCTTAGGTGGGTTTTGTGGGTGCTTGTGTTTTGTCTAGCAGACATTTGCCGTTTACTGTTTTGACATTCCAACTTGGTGCAGCTAATGGGGGAGACCACGCCCCCGCCACACACAGCTGACAGCCCATTTTGTCATCGTCTTCAGTTATCGTGGGCGTTGGCTGTCAGATTCTGTCTAGTTACCCATTCAATGGATGCATTCCAAGAGGTGGCTTCCAGCATATATGTATACACAGCCGGGTTTTAACTGCATTGCAAATGGTTTTGCTTTCGGTATGACAAATTGTAATCAAAGTATATGAGTGTGCGTGTGTGTGTGAGTGGGTGTTTGCTGGAGAATGTGTTATAAATATCTTTATGGGTTTGCTTAGCTATTCGCATAACTATTTCGAAGCTTATTTGAGCATGAATTTACTGTCATTTATTTGAGAACAAAGAAAGAAAATGAAACAGTTGGTAAATAGAGAATTGTGATTTATGACACCACCTGCTTCATAATTAATACATTTTTGTGTGTACATCAAGTAGACATTGATGCTTGTGATTGACCACAACTTGCCATTCACTAGCTTTTAAATGACAGAATACAAAAATTCTGGCTTTATATTTCACTTGAAGGAAAACGTCTTAGATTTCATATGCCACTGCATATTTCATTTGACAGTTTTATATTATGAAATTAAATTACCTCAGTTCAATCTTTACATATTTTATTTTACTCATGTTAATTTTATATGTACAAAGTTTGAAAACTAATTTACAATTGATGGGTAATTATTCATTGTACTTCAACTTTTTTTGCTACGACTTATATATTATTTATTTTATTTCTTTCTTATTATAGTATTATAATATTTTTTTTTACATATTTAAACATTTTGTAATAAATTTTTGTGGTACATTAATCCATAGTTTTCCGTTTAATCTTAAGCTTCTTGGCAAAGCTTTCTTTAATATGATTAGTGAAGTTTTCATGAAAGCCAATTCCACATTTTATTTCGGTTAATTTTTTCGAATTTTAGCCGCAATTCGCTGGACGGCCACAACCTTTTGAACTGCTTTATCTCGCAGTCAATATTTAATAACGACACTTTTGAATATTTGTTATTTCTCTGTCATAATCCCATAATGTGTATGTATCAGTTATAAGAGGCCTAGCGATGTCAGCTGTGTGCTGAGCTGCACTTAAAACGTTATTTTAATGGTGCCAAAAGACAAAAAAAAAATGAAGGTGGAAAAAAATGTTGGAAAATTTGCATTTAATTTGCACAGCTCAAAAAATAACAAAAAAAAAACTTGAGTTGCATTAAAATATGAAATTTTTTTCCAATTATTTTATTTTTGTTCAAGTTGCATTTGTTGTTGCTGCGAAATCCTTGGAATGTGCTAGTTGATGAAATATAATAAAATAGCAACACGCAACAGCTGAAAAACTGGCTTAAAATCTCATATATCAGAGCCATACTCTTTTGTCTCTCTCTCTGCCTCTCTTGCTCACTCTCTTTGTGTGTGGGTATGCGGAGTTTTTTGTTGTGGCAACAGCAGCAACAACAACAAATAATTGCAACAGCAACAAGATGGTCAATGTACCCGCAGTTGTTGTGTTTGTTGTTGTTATTCTTGCGCTTGTTGTTGTTTTTTATTTTGGTTATGAAATATGAGTCAAGTTTTCAATGCATGCCGGATGCATTCATTACCGTTGACGACTGAGGGCGGTGCGAGTGCGTCAGACAGGGACAGACAAAGGGAGAGAATGAGAGAGGTAGTAAGAGTTGGTAAAAGGAAGCGACGAAACTCCATGCATACACATGTCGACCATTATGCAACTGCATGTGTATATGTGTGTGTGTGTATGTGTATGTGT